ATCCTCAGAAATCCAGTTGACTTTATGAGCAGTATAAAGAGATGGAAGAGCTCAAAAGATCCTAGCAACAAAATCATTGCCAGGTGCTAACTATGGAACAGATCAGAAACTACTCACATGCAAGTTACAAATCAAGGTGAAGAACAAAGCAATGCCCTGATCTTGAGCAAATACCCATCGTTTTCAAGGGGAACCTCAGGTATTGCTTTGTAGCCGAGGTGGCGCAGCAGTTAGAGTGCAGTACAGCAGGCCACTTAGCTGACTGTGTTCAGCAGGTCAGCGGTTCAAATCTCACCGGCTCAAGGTTGACTCAGCCTTCCATCCTTCCGGGGTAGGTAAAATGAGGACCCAGATTGTTGGGGGAAATGTAAATATATATATATATACATTGCTTACTGGTGTACATCGCTTAGAGAGTGCTTGCACTTAAAGTGGTATATAAGTCTCATAAATAAATAAATCTGGCTGTCAGAAGAAATTATGAAAATTTGCCAAGAAGAGAAGAAAATCCAACGCTCTTAAATATTTTCAAAGAGATGTTAGAAGACACAAGAAGCAGGATTACAATGACACCTATAAAGGCATCAAAGATGGAAACAGAGGCAGAAAAACAAGCAAAGTTTTCTAAACGATCTCTGAACTCAGAGTTTTCAATCTCAAATCGATAAGCAGGGGATATCCAACCATGGCAACTTTCAGAGTTGTGGACTTCAATTCCCAGAATTCTCCAGCCAGCATGCTGGCTGGGGAATTCTGGGAGTTGAAGTCCACAATTCTTAAATTTGCCATAGCTGGATATCCCTTGGCGCTTAAAGGATGCCAAGACAGGATAGGACAAATAGTTAATGATTCAAAGATGATCAAATAAAAATGGAAGGAGTATATCTTAGAATTAGGCTGGGGAATTCTGGGAGTTGAAGTCCACAATTCTGAAAGTCGTCAAGGTTGGGGAGCCCTGGACTACCGAAATTGATGGAGTATTTACCAAATGTTCAGGATGGCCTTAGAGAAAGCTGAGGAACATGAGACATTAATGCTACTCATGCTGGATAATTGAGACAGCAAAAGAATAATGCCAGGAAGCAGTCGATACCAGTGGATTGCAGAAAGGCCTTTGATTGTGTTGACCATGTAAAGCCGTCAAATATCCTTAGGAAAAATGGGGATTCGGGCCAGTTTGTTGTCTTCTTGGAAAGTCCACACAAAAGGCAGGAAGCCATAATCTCTGCAGGTTGGCAAAGGTCAGCAAAGTAAAACTAGGCTGTAAGGGTAGTTGCAAGCATAACTGAGCCCAAAGTTTCTGTTGCTAAGCGAGACAGTTACTAAGTGAGTTTTGAAAAATGGTCATCAGGTACTTTTTTTAGTGCTGTTGTAACTTCAGATGTTCAGCAAACGAATGGTTGTATGCCGAGGACCGCCTGTATGCCTTCTCCTGATTTATTTAACCTGTACGCTGAATGTATGCAGGTAGTCCTTAAATTATGACCGTAATTGAGCCCAAATTGCAGCCATAAGCTGTAATGATTGCTGAGTGAGTTACCATGTGACTGTGACCGATTTTATGTCCTTTTTGCAGTGGTCAGTAAGTGAACATAGCAGTCATGAAAGGAATCCATTTTAGTTAATGCGGTTTGTTGCTGGGAGCCAGAAGTAAATGAAATGATGAACCCATAAAAATTACATCACACAATTGTGGGATGCTGCAAATGGCCATAAATGCAGGCTGGTTGCCTAGTGCCCAAAATTCTGTCACATGGTTATCGTGGGGGGACTGACATCAGGACTTCGATATCAGTAGGGTCATAAGGAGCTCCAGGGAGTCCATCATAGCTTTCAATGGTTGCTAAGCAGCCAGTTCTGAATCAAGGGCTACTTGTACCAAGGAACGGTGGATTGGAAAATGGTCTTGATTTTAAAATTGGAAGAAGGAGCATCACTGCAAACTCTGGTATATGAAAGTCAAGGCACATAAGTGTGTATGTGTGTGTGTGTGAAAGAAAGAGGGAGAGGGAGGGAGGGAGGGAGGGAGAGAGAGAGAGAGAGAGAGAGAGAGAGAGAGAGAGAAGTCCCTGCAGTTTTCTTGACAAGATTTCAGACGTATTTTGCCATTGCCTCCTTCCTAGGGCTAAGAGAGAAGGACTGGCTGAAAATCACCAACTGGCTTTATTCTTAAAGCAGAACTGAAACTCACAGCCTTCCTGTTTCTGTCCTGGTGCCATTAACCGCTACACCAAACTGGCTGTCTAGATTAGCTAGGCAGAAGACCCCACTGATGACAAGGAACAGGGCAGCCAGCTCTAGACTTCTTGCCTTTCACCTTTATTAGAAGAAACCAGGAAATAAGGCAAAATCCACGTAGGGTTCAGGGGCAGCTGCTTAATTCACCCAGGTCACCGATTATCACGTAGAAGCTTTTGGATTTTGGCTTAGCGAAAGCTAGTCCCTTCTTAGAACCCAACCTTGCAAAGTGATCAGTTGTGATCTCATTAGCAACCACCTTTGGATTTTCCCTTAGACTGGCTGGGAAGCGTGCTGCAGATCCCACCTGTCCTTTAAATGGCTTATCTACATCAGGGCTTTTCAACCTTTTCACCCATTGGCAATATCCGAGTACCACCAGTCACCTAGCAAGGTGTCAAAAACTTGATGACCAAAAAAAAAAAGAAAAAAAAGGAAAAAAGTGATAAAGTACAGGTAGTCCTTGACTTACAACTTAGTGACTGTTCGAAGTTACAATAGTGCCCCCCCAAGGCACAGCCGAGCAAAACACCTGTCTACGGCGCTCTTCCTCCTGTCCGAGGTTTTCATTGTTGTGAGCATTTCTGTTGAGGATTGGCAGTGGGGGTAGGGTGGGGGGTGTTTGTTTTTTATCCCCCCCGTCTGCTGGGTGGTTGCAGCAGATTTTGGTCCCTTCACATGACCCTGGGATACTGTGACCATCATAAATATGAATCGGTTGCCAAGCCTCTGAATGTAAATCACAAGACCCTGGGGATGCTGCAACATTCCAGCTGATCGGCGATTCTTCTGGGCTCAGCAGAAGTGCCAGGATCGGCTCCAAGCTCCAATTGGAGCCTGGTGCTGATCCTGGCACTTCCACTGAGCCCTGACAGCCCTGAAGAAGTGCTGATCCTGGCGCTTCTGCTGAGCCCTGACAGCCCTGCAGCTCCAGCTGTCTCTCGCTCAGGCTTGTGTGGTGCTGCCACCGGTTCAGCTTATTCCCCTCCCCGGCTACCACTTTTCTGGGATGGTCGTGTACCACCTGCCGGGGCCAATGGACCACAGGTGATACCTGTACTACTGGTTGAAAAGCCCTGATCTACATGATGTAATGTTTGGCATCCCTGCCAGGGAGGCAACTTCTCAGGCAAGAGTGATGAACTGCCGAACCTTGAATCCTCTGGAAATTCTGCCCAATTGCGCTTGCCGTCTGTCAGGCCTCAGGCGCCCTTTGCAGACAGCGGCGGGAGGGGGGGAAGAGACCCAGGGCTCACGCATTAAGCAGATCTTGCCTGCTGGGCCTTCGAAAGCAGGGATCAAAGCGCCCTCCTACAGTCTGGGACTCTGCGTTGGGGATTTTTGGAGTTTCCGTTCCAATACGGGTACGGCCTCGTGACTCATGGCCAGAATTTGGATCAGAATCGCTAAGGAAAATGGTTAAGTGAATTATGCCTGATTTTATAACCTTTTTAAGCGATTCACTCTTCTAAGGCAGCAGGCCCTAGCGATGTCATCTCATGGTATCAAGACACAGCCCACGATGTCCTCTCCTGACAGTGAGGACAATCAACCAGTGGAACAGCTTGCCACAAGAAATCATGGGCGCTCCATCACTGGAGGTTTGTAAGAAGAGACTGGACAGACACTTGTCTGAAATGGTATAGGTCCTCCTGCTTGAGCAGGGGGCTGGACTAGAAGACCTCCAAGGTCCCTTCCAGCTCTATTCTATTCTAAAAAGAAGCAATCTGGAATTAAGAAGACACTTCCTAGCAATGAGAACAATTAGCAAGTGGAACAGCTTGCCACTAGAAGTTGTGAGTGCTTTATTACTGGATATTTTAAAGAAGAGACTGGACCACTGCTTATTTGGAATGGTATAGGATCTCTTGCTTGAGCAGGGGGTTGGACTAGAGGACCTCCAAGGACCCTCCCAATTCTATTTTGATTTGATTGATTGATTGATTGATTGATTGATTGAAATGTTGAGGTGTGGCAACTGGAAAGACAATATTCAGGTTCTGGTGTCATCATTGGAGACAAACTGTTCTCATAGAGTTTGTAGAATACTTTTCTGTGAAGTAGACTTCTAGATTCTTCAAAATCCATGTGATTCTGAAGTCTCTATCTCCCATCGCTCCTGTCTGAAATGAATGGATTGCTTGAAAATAAGCGTTGAGTCTCATAGAAAACCTTAGATGGAGATTCCTAGTTACAACTGCGGAAGCAAACACTTGGCAAGTTTTGTTACCTAATAGAAAACAAGAGTGTTTGTATTTACATTTTCCTGCCATGTGTGTATGCACTTCTAAGCATATTTATTCACACTGTTGGCCAGGAAGGCTCATCCAGGTCAAATTTGGCCCTCTGAGAGTGTCCCCTCACTGTCCGTTCTGGGCAACAGAAGGAGGAGTCTCAGTGATCAAGGACAGGACTTGGCTGTAGACCCCGGAAGAGGTGGATGAGGCCCTGGTTCTGTCACTTCTTGGTCACCCTGACTATGCAGCTAAGTGACTTTGGGACTAGATAGCTGACAGCTATACAGTCTTCTAGATCTGAGTTCGTTTCACCATGTCAGTCAATCCATTCAAAGACCCATCACGATGGGCCCGTGTGGATATTACGCGTGACTTTTGTCTATATAGGGCAGTGATCCCCAGCCGTAGCCCCTTGGAAACGCTGGCTGGTGAATTCTGGGAACTGAAGTCCACACGTCAAGGCTGAGAAGAGCTGCTGCAGAGGTTTGCAGAGTGGTCAATACGTGAAGGTGATACGGGGTGCGTATCCATCTTCTTCAAGGTTGAGTCTCTGTGTGTGTTTGTGTGCGTGTGTGTGTGTGTGTGAGAGAGAGAGAGATAGAGATAGAGAGAGGTGTGTGTGTGTTTCTCTTTAGTTGCTGACAATTTCTGACATGCAAGTCAGATTATGACCTGTGGTTTTAAAAATGAATTACGGTAGGTGTAGAGAGTGGAGATAGGCAGAAGGCATTAAGATGCCTCCATGCCTCCTCTGAGGGAGTTAGGTCGTTAAGAAATAGGAAATATACAGCAAATAAATAAATAAATAAATAAATCAGTCAAGCAAGCAAGCCACCCACCCTTGGTGTTACAATAGCTGTCTAATGTTTTTGCCCTCTCTCTCTCCACACAGGTTTGTGGTTTTCTGTTTAAATCTCACATTTAAAGTACTTTGGAGGCAGTTTTCAGCACATATTTTCTTATCCTATCAAGAAGCTAGATGGGCTAAAAGGCTTTTTCCACCATTTAAAAAGTTTTGATCTCTGTTTGATCTCTTACGGTTGTTCTCTGAGTGTGCATTATTGACAACCTTAATGTGAAGTGAGATCCTGTCCAGTTCTCTCACAGGGTGGAACACGTGGTGTTTGTTAGGGTGATGGCTGATATGCCATCTCAACACAGGAGATTATGCCCATATGTCTAACCCCACCGTCCTGCTAGCTGTTGCAACATGATGTGTGAGCGTGTTATCTCTCTGTTGGCTTCTGTTCATTTGGCACAGGGATTGTTGCTAAATATAACCTGTAATCAGCCAGCATTGCAAAAATGTGAGGTCATTATTAGAGGCTGGTTCTCAGTTACCTTTTTCACCCGATACCCACTGGTGGCCCAGCTTCTGGCAAGCAGGTGAGGAGCAGAACCGTTTGGCTAATCTCCCGTTGTGGTGGGTGTGCAATTGTTGGTAGCTCCAGTTCAGCATCTCCCTTCTTCTTAAGCGGTTATGAAACTGGACTGGGCTCGGAGAATTGCAAAGTACATTTTGATGAGCTGGCTGCTCCTCACGAACAGGATCTGCTGAGATAGCTGTGCACCTCCTTTTATAATACCAGCCAGGGACAATTTCTTGTCTTTCCCCCAACCCTCATAGTTTCAAAGCTTGCATCATTCCTCCTTGGAGCTGAAAGGGAGGACATCATAGGAGCCACAGAGAAGCAAGCAAAATCTACTTCCTTTGTCATGGTTACAGATTCTACTTAAAAGCCTCCTTTAGAAGCTTACAAGCAGATGCAAATGCAAGCTGGAACCGTTCCTTTTATGCTCCTTAGCTACTGGATGGGTGGGTGTTCCTTCCACTAATGCTTGTAGCCCCTAATGCTTCTTCCTAAGTGTACCCAGTTGCTTTTTAAAGCTATCCAAGGTCGTTTACATCCTAAGAACCTGTAGGCAGAAATACTGAATTTTAACTATTGGTAGTAGATTCTGTGTACTATTTCTGTGTTTTCTAGACATTCCTATCAGTTATAGGACAAAGCTGTACTTGCACCAAGTCCTGCATCTCCTAAACTGTAGTTTCAATAAGTAAACAAGCTTGTCCTTAGAGGCATGATGGTACAATGAAAAACAGGATGTTAGACACACACACACCCTTGGCCAACTTGTCACAGCATCAATACAAGATGTGCCAGAAGAATTTTACAGATCTCTTCCGCCCTGAAAGGAATGTTAAAATAAGCTCTTCTTCATTAAATTAAGTGGGGAGTGTTATTAAATGGGGAATGGCATTCTAGCCCAGTATTAAGTTAGTGATCTTGTGGGGCTGAAGAACTTTTGATGGAGAACAACTGCTGTCGCCGTGGGAAGAAGCAGCCTTAAAGAAAGAAGAAGCAGGAAAGGCAATGAAGGTCTTTTTTAAAAAAGGCATTTTTTCTTCTTGTGACAGCCAACTGATTTTTTTTCCATACACTTTTGATTATGCAAAGGGGTCATTTCCACGTGTGCAATATAAAATAGGCTGAAAAGGTGTCAGCTTTGTGAGGTAGTCCAGACAAAAAGCACACCAAGAAGAGCCAGGTGGCGCAATGGTTGGAATTCAGTTATTGCAGGTAAACTCTGCCCACAGCCCGGAGTTCAATCCTGATGGGCTCAAGGTTGACTCAGCCTTCCATCCTTCCGAGGTCGGTAAAATGAGATCCCAGATTGTGGGGGGCAAATAGGCTGACTCTGTAAACCACTTAGAGAGGGCTGTGAAGCACTATGAAGCGGTATATAAGTGCTATTGCTACTAGCTCTAACTTTATTGTAAGATTACGTTAACAGACTCTTGCAGTCTGAAAGTATACCTCTTACCCCTCACCTTTACAGGCCAGGAAACTAGGGAGGGTCTCTCCTTGGCCCACCCATATTCCTGCTGCAGCAGGCTAAGCTGCGTCTAATCCGGCCATTGACTTGTCTCCGGCTCTTCCTCCTTTCTCCCCAAGTCATTCAGACCCAATTACATGAGGTAAGGAGCCTTTGTAGGTAAGCAGCAAAGTTATATTGGGGTGGGGTATAGATTGCAACAGCTCTTCATATTTGTAAGGCATTAAAAGGGAATTTGCTCCCCTCCACCTGCTCTTTCAGCTTGCCAGACCATCGCCTCTACATTAGGACTTGCAATGTGATGCTAGCTGAATGATTTAGGGGAAAGGAAATGGAAATTATATTTTTCTGAACCATGTGAGATTGTATTCTTAATGAGAAGGCAGAAATCGTGCAGGGTTTTGATTGTCTTGTGTGAGATTGGGCAAGTTTTCAACCTAAGACTAGGAAAGGCTGCTTCTCCTCATTTTTGCTGAAGTCTTTAATGACATCATGGCTCAGAAGTCTGGGCTTTTTATTTTGTAAACTTATTTGGTGCCCCTGAGGCATTTTGCTGGTTGAACCAAGCTGCAAATGGACACCTTCCCTTTATTGCTACTGGAAGGGAATCGAATTATTCTGGCACTTGAGGCAAATCAAAAACAAGAACCCAGGTATCTGTTCCTAAAATTGCAAGAATAAAATAATATAATAAAATGCCTAACAACTTGTTTTTTTTTTATCATGACATCTGAAATGAGCTGTGTAAGTAAACTGCTTTATTTTATGTAATGTTATGACCAGTTCACTGAACTGGTTCCTTGATCTTTTTCCTACTTTTTCAACAGTGCGATCAACAAAGAGAGACAGATTTTAATACAAATTGATATTTCATGAACTTTCAAAGGAGTTAGAAGAGTTACAATATGTTGTTAACATCACACCTTTATTGTAGGGATAAGACCAGAATTTCTGAAAAGCATTTGCCTATCTCATTTGTCTTTCCCTTAGACATGTTGAACTTCAGGAAGACAGCATTTAAATAAAAATAATTATATTAATAAGTTAATTCTATGGGTTTTTCCTCCCTTACAGGAAGAAAGATGATCACAAGTGAGGAGGAGAGAGACATAATGAAATGAGGAATCCATCATCAAGAAAAAGATGCAGAAAAATGGGGAAATGCCTAGAATAGACATCCATGGTCTCGCGTTCAATTGACAGGGAACAAAATTTATCTTCTTGTGATGATGGGACTGGAAATTAATCTTGTAATAAGGAATGAATATCAACCTTCATTCTGGTCTCGCTCAAGAAAACTGCTGACGGAGCCCATGAAAAGAAGAAGTTTCAGGTATAAATTTTGCTTTCCAAAGCCTGCAGCAGAAGGTCCATATCTGTCAAACCCAATGGGATAGTAAACATATTCTAGAATTTGAAGTTCATTACGTTGCATTTCCAGGAGATGAAAGATGAGGAGAGTCATTTAAAACTAGTTATTTCCACCCAATCCTTCATCTAAATTGAGGCTTTTAAGTTAGCAAATTTACTTTGGAAAAACCCTTGGAGATGCAATCTGTAAATTAATACCTTTGAAATGAATGTCTTCTCCTTTGATTTGATGGGCTTCTAGCATGAAAAATTGCGAAGTGTAATTGTTAAGAATGAAGATTTGTTTTAGTTCATACCACCTGGGTAATTGGAGACTGTTTCACCTACTGGAATTTTATTATAGGGTAAAGCAGGAGTAGACCCTGCACCATGGCAGAGAAGTGTGATTATATTACAAGTGTCTATGGTTATGATCTGGGTTGCCGATTCATCAACTTCAGACCGCTGGGCTTTGGTGTGAACGGGCTGGTTCTGTCTGCAATCGACAGCAAAAGCTGCTGCAAAGTTGCCGTGAAAAAGATCGCCATCAACGACGCGCAGAGCTTGAAGCATGCTTTCCGGGAGATCAAGATAATCCGCCGATTGGATCACGACAACATTGTGAAGGTCTACGACGTCTTAGGGCCCAAAGGAGCAGATCTCCAAGGAGACTTGTTCAAGTTCAACGTGGTGTACATCATCCAGGAATACATGGAGACGGACCTGGCCCGCCTATTGGAGCAAGGACCACTTTCAGAGGAACACGCCAAACTTTTTATGTACCAGCTGCTCAGAGGCCTGAAATACATCCATTCAGCCAACGTCTTACATAGGGATTTAAAGCCAGCTAACATTTTCATCAATACGAACGACCTGGTGTTGAAGATTGGTGACTTTGGATTGGCCCGAGTTGTGGACCAACATTACTCACACAAGGTATGACTTTTCATTTGTTTGGCTACCATTATGCAGACACTGTTCACAGATGGTGAAATCAGATTTACCATCCCAGATTAATATCAGGCTTTGTGAAATTTGTTTCTCCCAATGACACATTCAAACATTGTATAATAGCAATAGCACTTATAGACCACTTCACAGTCTTTACAGCCCTCTCTAAGTGGTTTACAGAGTCAGCACATGGCCCCCAACAATCTGGGTCCTCATTTTACTGACCAAGGAAGGAGGGAAGGCTGAGTCAACCTTGAGCCGGTGAGATTTGAACTGCTGAAGTGCTGGCAGTCAGCAGGCAGCAGAATTAGTCTGCAATGTTGCATTCTAACCATTGCGCCACCACGGCAGAATAATAATGAACAACAGAATTAGAAGGGACCTTGGAGGTCTTATAGTCCAACCCCCGGCTCAAGCAGAAGATCCTATACCATTTCGGACAAATGGCTGTCCAGTCTCTTCTTAAAAACTTACAGTATTGGAGCATCCACAGCTTCTGGAGGCAGGTTGTTCCACTGGTTAATTGTTCCAATTGTCAGGAAATTTCTCCTCAGTTCCAGGTTGCTTCTCTCCCTGATGAGTTTCCATCCGTTGCTTCTTGTCCTGCCTTCAGGTGCTTTGGAGAATAGGTGGACCCTGCCTTCTTTGGGGCAGCCCCTGAGATATTGGAAGACCGCTATCATATCATCCCTTGGTCCTTCTTTTCATTGAACTAGACCAGTGGTGGTGAACCTATGGCACAGGTGCCAGAGGCGGCACTTGGAGCCCTCTCTGTGGGCACACGCACCATCTCCCCAGCCCCACCTCCTCCCACAGCCCCTTCTTCACCAGCAGCTCCCCTGGAGGAGAGTCACCCCTGGGCGCGAAGCAGCGCAGCCAAGCCAGGCAGTGGGGACAAGACTCCGCCCTTGCGCCCCGTCACTCGCAGATAATGCTGTGGGGTGTGGGTGGAGGGTGTGGCCGCCATGGCGCTGCTGGGCTGCCTCGGTGATCTGTGGCAGGCTGTGGAGGTGGTGGGTGGCCCAATGGGCAGGGCGGAACGGGGACGGGGGTGGGGGATGGCTTTTGGGCACTCGATCTCTAAAAGGTTCGCCATCATGGAACTAGATATACCCAATTAATGGTCACTGATGGAAGTCTCCTCCCTCACCCTCCCTTCCCCATACCTGAATGTCTCCACAAGTAAAACGCTTTCTTATGCACTGGAATAATTCACAATCCAACAGGTGAACAAGTTCTGCTGGCACATCTGTGCTTCCATCGCAAGAGGACATAAAGAGCCTCCTTCAAATAATAGGGTTAACTGTACGGAGCATCATATTAAACAGGACAGCATAATCACAACAGATAAAAGAGAGCTTGAAAACCTACATCTTGCAACTGGGTGCAAACCTGAGAAAGATAGGAATGTCTTTCACCTCCTACTGTTAAAATAAATGTGCCAGTTTAAACATGGCAGACATTTTAGTAAATATTTGGTATGGTAACAATTATCACGCCTCATGCTGTTAAAACAAAAAAAGGGCCTCCTTGTACAATTCGGTACATCTGTTGTTCGGCTCACGAAAGATGCTTATTGCGTCTTCTTTCCTAGCAAATGTTCTTCTTACCTTTTGCAGGCTCAAGAGAAACAAGAGAGAGGGATTAAATAAAGATGGGGTGTCACACTGTGCTAATGAATTGCAGTGGGAGCTGGGTCCTTGCTGATATTATTTCTTCTTCTTCTCATCTCTCTTAGAAGTGGCTGGTTTCTCCAGTAACTTTTAAGTAAATTCCTCCTCCGACATATATATCTATCCTGCTGAGCTATCAGAGCTTTCTTGCTGAAGTGCTGCCTGTCAGGATTGCTTCCACCGGGCCATTCGTGTCGGAGGACCGAGGCGCTATTTACAGTACCTTCTGCCTTGATGCCCAAGTGACCGGAGGCAGTCCTTGACTTACGACCACAATTGAGCCCAACCTTTCTGTTGTTAGGCGAGACAGTTGTTAAATGAGTTTTCCCTCATTTTATGGTCTTTCTTGCCACAGTTGTTAAATGAATCACTGCAATTGTTCAGTTAGTGACACGGTCGTTAAGTGAATCTGGCTTCCCCACGATGTAAAAAAGAAAGAGTGCAGAGAAGAGCAACAAAGATGATTAGGGGACTGGAGGCTAAATAAGGAACGGTTGCTGGAATTGGGTATGTCTAGTTTAATGAAGGGAAGGACAAGGGGGGGACATGATAGCAGTGTTCCAATATCTCAGGGGCTGCCCCAAAGAAGAATTGGGGGTCAAGCTATTCTCCAAGGCGCCTGAAGGCAGGACAAGAAGCAACGGATGGAAACTCATCGAGGAGAGAAGCAACCTAGAGCTAAGAAGAAACTTCCTGACAGTGAGGACAATCAACCAGTGGAACTACCTGCCTCCAGAAGCAGTGAATGCTCCAACACGGGAAGTTTTTAAGAAGAGACTGGACAGCCATTTGTCCGAAATGGTGTAGGGTGTGCTGCCTGAGCAGGGGGTTGGACTAGATGACCTCCAAGGTCTCTTCCAACTTTATTATTATTATTATACTGACTGTGTTTGTCAGAAGGTCGCAAAAGGGGATCACATGACCCCTGGACACGCTGCGACCGTCATAAATATGAGCCAGTGGCCTAGGGTCTGAATTTTGATCACGTGACCGTGGAAGATGCTCAATGGTTGTAAGTGTGAAAAATGGTCATATGTCACTTTTTCAGTGCAACTGCAACTTCGAACAGTCACTGAACGAATGGTGGTAAGTCAAGGGTGAGCTGCATTGTGCCATTTCACAAAGAACCTCCATTCTTGGTCAAATTGAATGTCTGTCCGGGGATAGCTAAAAGCTACTCTGTTCTGCCTGTTTTAGCCAGCTCCTTTTGTGGCCTCTGGAGACCTCCAAAATCATGCTGCTGAAAAATCTGCAGTGTGATTTCTTTCTTAAAGTAAAACAGGAGTATTTAGCGGCTAATAGAAGGAATGGACATTTTTCCTACCCTACCCAGCATTTGGGGATCAAAAATTCCACCCCTCCTGGGTGATATCATTGCATCACTGCCATGGCCCCAGGATTTGGGGAACATGAATGAATTCCTTGTGTGTCTAATCATACTTGGCCAAATAAAGCCTGTTCTGTTCTGCTCTGTTCCACTCTTCCAATCCTTGACTTACTTTGATTCCTGTTCAGTTGGTTGCATAAATCCACACGGCATTGTTCGTGATATTTTCATGGCTTGCCTTCTCCTTCTTCCTAGGGCTGAGAGAGAGGGACTGACCAATGGTCACCCAGCCAGCTTCCCCATCCAGATTAGGACTAGAACTCAGGTTTTCCTTCTCCTTAATGAAATTGTATCTCATTTTTGGCTAGCAAAATGGAATCTGGAAGAAAACGTTACAGCCTGTTAAAGGTGCCAACCATCCCTTATCCTGGACCCTCCATTCCTGGTTGCACTTTCTCTTTTTTCCTCCCTCACCCCCTTTCCCCCCACCTCCCCAGATTCAGTCTTTTATAGCCCTTGAACCTCCCACCTCTACTTCCTTTTTCCTTTTAAAATCTTTTTGTACAGGTAGTCCACGACAACTGGAGCCCAAAATTTCTGTTGCTAAGTGAGACATCTATTGGGTTTTGCCCGGTTGTTAAGTGAATCTGGCTTCCCCATTCACTTTCCTTGTCAGAAGGTCGCAAAAGGGGATCACGTGACCCACAGGGACACCGCGACCGTCATAATCATGAGTCAGTTGCTAAGTGTCTGAATTTTGATCACGTGACCCTGGGGATGCTGCAACTTTCATTAAGTGTGAAAAGCGGTCATAAGTCACTTTTTTATTTCCTTTGTAATGTCGAATGGTGACTAAATGAACTGTTGTAAATCGAGGACCACCTGTAGTACTTCTAAAAGCATCAGACTTCCTATCCCCTATCTTCTGCCATGCCTCCCTTGTAAACATCTGGCTTGTGCAGCTGAGGTTGAAGGATGAATTCACTTATGAAACTATGCTACCTCCCAGTTCCCAAAAAAAACAAAATAAGTTTCTATACATTGTGCAGGCTTCATATATATATATATATATATATATATATATATATATATCAGTTCATACCTCCACTGGCAGTTAAAAGGAAGAAACAGCCAAGACCACACACTGCTGCTCGAGGCACGAAGCTGAAAGCACCAGCCTGAAGATGACGAATGGGACTTCGTCGAAACGTCGCCAAGACACTTCCAATTTTACGTGGGAGAAAACCCGAACAACCAAAGACCTACATACAAATACGCGAAAACCTCAGAAAACAAATATATATATATATATATATATATATATATATATATATATATATATATATATATATATATTGTCCAAATAATAATGATCACCAAGAGAATATCTATCAAAAATAGAATTTAATCCACCGAGCTTTCGTCAAATACACTTGACATCGTCAGGGTTAAATATATATATATATATATATATATATATAAACATTGGAATTTTTAAAATAGCAGCAATAGAAGAACCTCATCTTTTGTGTGGGGCTAAAGAAAGCAATGGCTTTAAACAGGGTACCATCTTCTCATCAGGGAATACAAGATAATGATAGGAAACCGACGATATGCTCCTGTGAGTAAATTACTACCTTTTCCAGGGCTCATTTTTGGGATTAATAGCAGGGCCGGGATGAAGATGTCAGCTGGCGCCTGCCAGAAGCCGCAGCCAACGTGATGGGAATGCCCGACCTTCTTTGTCAGAGAGTTTTGAAAATCATTTTTATTTTCTCCTCTGCACACCATGTGTAGTGGGAGGAGGAAAAAACATAGGTCTAAATCAGTGGTTCTCAACCTTTTTAATGCCGCGACCCCCAACCGGTCGTAAGTTGAGGACTACCCAACCGGTCCTAAGTCGAGGACTTTCCCTGCCCGGGAGCGCCGCGCATGTGTGGTGCCACCCCCTGCGCCGGCCGAGGCGTAGCTGGCGAGCAGCAGAG